GGTTTAGGATTTAGGGTTTAGGGTTTAGGGTCTAAACTCCTTTTAAGGGGGTTATATAGGGGATTATATTGGGGAGTATTATGGGGGTTATTAAGGGGGATACTAGGAGTGTAGACTAAAGCTCATGTATAGATGGTAGCTTCCTACAATAACCCCAACAAAGGAGAATCAAACGGAAAAGAAGATGGAAAATTCAATTGAAACCCTGGGTCCCTTAAGGGGTATGCAGGGATATTACCCCAATAATGGAGAATCAAATGGAAAAGAACATGGAAGATGAAATGGAAACTGGGGTTATATGGTAGCTTCCTTAAATAGGGGACCCCAATATTAACCCCAAAATATTCTAGTCCTTATTATGGGGGACCGCCCCCAAAAAAGGTATCCCTAATTTCAGAAAGCCCCTAAATGGATCCTCCCATGTACTCTTGTTCTGATGACCTCCCCCCTCTCTACTGCAAGGAGCTTGACACTGAGAAGATGATCCTTCACTTGGAGAGCAAGCTCCAGGACATCAGCAAGATGACTGAGATTGATGCCTTGGCTGACAGGGTGGCAGCTCTGGAAAAGGAGATACTGTATACCCCATTATAATCTAGTAGTTTCCATTGTCTTTTCCATTATCCCAATACAACCCCAACATAACCTCAATATCACCCTATTGAAGAGGAGATGGCAGAGAATGAAATCACGAGCTCGGCGCTGAACGGCCACTTGGAGTGTGGATTGGCCACAGCACAGAAAGAGCTGCAAAGCCTACGACAGCACACCTCCGACCAGTTGAAGAGCTTGGATGAGAGGCTCAGTAACGGGGTTCTTGTTGAACAAACTTTTTCCTTTGTTATGTATACCTGGGCCCAGTATAGATTAAACATGATCATGTTTAATAGCATTTCAACAAGAACCCAGTACTAATTGTAATTTTCCACGACTGTTACTATTGCTATTACTAGAACCCAGGTAAGTCAACGGAACTGAACAAAGTACTAATTGTAATTACCACGACTGTTACTATTACTATTACTAGAACCCAGGTAAGTCAACGGAACTTCTCCAAAATTGTGGCCTTGCAGAGAAGCTCGCCGAGTTGGAGGCTGAGGTAGCAGAGCAAGCAATTACAAACTCTGCAGTGAATGGCCACTTGGAGGGTGCCCTACACACTGCCCAGAAGGACTCAGGGTTAAGGGTTTAGGGTTTAGGGTTCGGATATTTAGTGAATATTGGAAACATGGAGAATCAAATGGACAAGAAAATGGAAAATGACATGGAAACCCTAGGTCCATTTAAAGGGGTATATGGGTATGTTACCCCAACAATGGAGAACCAAACATTGGAATTGCCCAGTGAAGGGTTTTGGGACGTACTTCGAAGAATGAAGAATCAAATGGACCAGGGCATGTAAACTACATTTACTTAGGGGTGTACAGAGTCTTATCGGCGCCTGATGGCTTCCCAATAACCAAAAGAGGCCTTCCCTTAAACCCTAAATCCTAAACCCTAAACCTTAACCCTAAACCCGAAACTCTAAACCCTAAACCCTTGTTGTGCCTGGAGGAGCTACAGTGCTTGAGGGAGCTTATGGCAGACCAGACGGGCTCTTTGGAAAAGCGCCTGGCCAAGACAGGTGGAGATATGAGCTTTTGTCTCAACTCCTTAAAGGGGTTATATGGAGGATTATCTAGGGCTACATAGGGTTTAGGGTCTAAACTCCTTAAAGGGGGGTTATAGGGGATTATATAGGGTTCTATAGGCTTTAGGGTCTAAACTATGACTCATATGGAGTTGCTGGGGGATAGTGTGGGGATAACTTCCTGTCAGCCTAAGTCTTTGGCTCATCTGTTACCCTCATTTTGAGGGGCTGTGATCCATTCCAGAAGCCTTAAGCCCGGTAATATCCTATCACTTAGGAGGAGCCCCCACCCTGTCACCTGTCATAGTGATTATAAGGGATAATAAGGATTATATGAGGGTCCTATTGTATTCCTGTTATGCCACCATTACAGGCGCGGGGGGTCCTCCTAACCTATCACCAATTCCCGAAGGTCCTTGGCTTTTGAGGGACCCGAGCTGTGACTAAGGCTGTTTTCCCAGTCCGTATCACGACTTGAAGCCGACCTCAGCGAGCAGGCTATTACCAATTCAGCCCTGAATCTGGATGGCAGATAAGAAGCCTTACCTAGGTGTAGGGTTTTCGTGGTTTAGGGTTTAGGGGTTTAAGGTTTTAGGGTTTTAGGGTTTAAGGTTTCAGGGTTCTAGGGTTTTAGGGTTTAGGGTTTAGGGTTTGAGGTTGTTAGGGTATAAGCATTACCTGATTTTGCTGTTAAGGAACTTCAACTAAGCTATTAAATTAAGGAGCCCCTATGGTTGCTATATGCCCATATTATAGTAACTTCATTTAAGTTCCCTAATAGCAGCCCAGTTACAGGTTGGTTGTGTCTCATCTGTCGTTTTCATGCTTTTGGGGCACAGTTTTTGCATGGGAGAAGTATCCACACTTTAAGGCTGAAGGGAAGTTACTTCAAACATAGATATTGCAGATGAGCTATTGCCTGTCATTGGAAAAAGTCTTAGTGTGGTGGGTGGGGAAGGGGGTGGTTTTAGAGTAGCAAGTTCGTGGTTCTGCTCATTTCGCACCCTATGCCCCATAACTGGGTAGCTCAGGAACGGTCACTTGGAGTGTGGTCTTGCCACCTCGAAGCAAGAGCTGGAGTCAATGCGACTGGCCTGCTGTCAATGGGTGTCACGCAGTTTAGGGTGTAGGTTTCAGAGCCAGAAAGGGTTGGGAGGATTCAGTGATTGAAAAACGGTTCGAAGTCCGAATAGCCATATACCCCCTTATAAAAACCTCTTAGTCTTAGGCCTTGAGAAGCATTTTGGCCGTATACGTAGGTTATTCCCAAAATCATGGGCCCGTTTTGGCTATAACATGTATTTCGGCACCTAATATGGGTACCAAAATGGGACCTCAAAATTTTGGAACTACCCATATCCCAGGCGTGTCTACACGGCCGACCAGATGAAATTCCTAAATGCGCGCGTCGACGAGCTACTCTCAGCTTCTCAGGTCGCTGGCAAATCGCCTCAGCCGGAGACAGGAACCTGGGCAGGAAAGGGATATAATGTAGGTAGAGATAATGGACAAGAAGATGGTAACTAGTATATAGCAAGCAGATATAGCACAATAGGGTATATATTGGGATTATTTAGCTAACCAAACGGCATTTTTGTTGGGGTGTATTTTTTTGGTTTTGCTGACTGGTGATAGTCATGCAATTAGGGACGGTTTTCCTAATGTGTTTTGTAGTCATTGGGGTTTCATTCACGAAGCTGCTATTGTTTTTGTGTCTTTTTTCAAGGGCGTCCGCTCATGAAGAGTAGTTTGGGATGTAGTTTTTTCAGGGGCTCGTTCATACCAGCACCCTCCTATTACCCTTGATTGGGGCTATATGGGCCCTAACTTAGGCCCTACTAGAAGGTAGGAGGAGGGTCCAGGTAGATAGTCTTGAGAGATTCAAACCACGACTCAGGAACACAGTGGTCTGATGGATTCACCACACACATCCTCAAGTCCAAGAGCTCCAAGTCCTTCCAGCCGCTTCTTCCGCACAGCGGTCTGAAACTGGGTTGCTGTTAAGGGACTTAATTCAAAGTTACTATATTGGGGAAACCCTATTCTTTACTATAAAAACCCATTATAATTAATTCAAGTTACTGTATTGGGGAAACCCTTGGATTTAGAATTTAAACCCGTTATAGTACCCTGAAAATAAGTTCCTTAACAGCAACCCAGGAAACTTCACCCGGTGGATCGCCTGATTTCTTCGAAATCTTTGCCCCAGCTGCCCTCACTGAGCTGATGGCTACACGGCCCTGTGATCCTCAGAGTTTCACCCCGTAACTGGCCTTAACTACTAGTAGTTGGGGCTTGACACTGAGCCACTGTCAATTCAGACCTGCCGCGAGACTCGGATCGCCCCCTTGCCGAAGAAAAAGCACGCCCACTGCATATAACAGTTGCCATAGAATGCACTCCATACTTTCGTACTAGCACGTCCCGGCGAAGTGCAGAGGCAATCCTTCAGGATCACCAAACTTCCATTACTACTTACTATTGATATCTTTATTCGTATTGCTACTCGTCTAAATAGTGCATGGTAGGCCAAGTTCTCAAATTTGCCCATCGGCCAGGTCCTGGACATCATCCATGCACTTCTGAAGCGGGCGCGCTCCTATAGGGGCCAAAATAATTACCAATATTATGCTTCCATTTAGGTTTTAGGATTTAGGGTTTAGGGGGGGCCTAAATAATTACCAGTATTATCCCCAATAATGGAGAATCAAATGGAAAATGAAATGGAAATTGGGTTTATATAGGGACTTATAGGGATGATTACCAATATTATGGTTCCATATTCCTTGTATAATTAAAGTATATGGTACTTCAAATGGACCTCAAAAGGAAATATTTTTAGGCCCCCATATTAGGCCTGTACTGGTGCTACAAGAAGAGAGGGGAGTGAAAGGAGTCTTTTATAGGGGTTCTTCTCTTTTCTCCCTGCTTTCTTAGCCCTTCGCTTTTTTGGTGCTTGGGGCCCAAGTTGTTAACCCCAACATATCCCCCAAGGGTTCTCAAGGGCCAAGGTTTCTTCATTCGAGGAGATTTTCTAGGAGCCCTTGAGGATATATGGCGTACATACGAAACTAAAGATATCCAGGAATATCTGGACTCAGTTTTACCTTAAACAATCGCCGCCTTCACCCTAAACCCTAGGGTCAAACCTTATGTTAAGAAAACTACGGCCCCGAGTCAGAGTCTCAACATTTCTTAAGAGGGTATAGGCTTAAGAAATGCAAGGACCGCCCCTACAGTCTCGAATAAATTTCTTAAAGCCCAGTCCAACCCTCCAGAAAACCCCGGCCCCAATGGGACACCACCAAACACACCATTTGAAAAGCGCGTGGTTTCGGTGTTTTGGTGAGAGTCTCAAATAATTTATGTTTCCCGCATCCAGCGTTTGGTTTCTTGTTCCATAAAATTTCTTAACATACTGCTCCACCGTACCCCACCCTCCGCCTGAAGCACCATGAAGATGATGGCAAGCAGCGGAAAACCTGGGCAGTTCTGCAGGTTCTTGCACAGGAGCTTTTGCAGTTGAGAGCGTGTGCTGCGTGATGCCAATGTTCGCTGCTGCTGCGTACAGCTCAAGCCGCAAGGCTACCACGATCTAGTTCAGGCCTTACATTCCTCCGGGATGTCACGCTCTATCTTCATGTTCGTTGCGCTGGCTGCTGCTACGGTGGCAGCTGCAAGCGACCTCGCCACTGGCGCTGAGGGCGCAGAGGACTACTGGGCAGGAGCCGTGTGGCAGGACCTTCAGCTGCTCTTCTCCTTCGTCCTGGGCATTCTCTTCGTGCGCTCTGCCGAAACCATCTTGGACGAGTCCGGGGCCAGTGGAAGAAATCAGGGACTCACGAAGCTCCAGCTCTACTCCCTGCTGTCTTAGACTCCGAATTTCGCAAAGGCACCAGGCCAGAACGAGCTTCAAAGGAATGCAGTCAAAAAGAGCTCCAACACTGAGCTGCTCGTTCTTTGTTCAGCTGATCTTCAGCATGTGTGGCTGATGAAAGGTGTGCCACACAGAGTCTGCCACTGCCTGCAGGAACTCCATCAATCCATCCGAAACTCTCTTCGTAAATTCCTGAGGTTTTGAGGGATGACAAGTCACGTTGCTTCGCCATGCAACAGGCAGTGGGAGACATGAGGATCTAGCGAATTGGATCATTGTTGAGTCACATGTCACCTGCAGCTTGTCGAATGCTTGAAACCAAGAGGGTGAGATTCTAACCT